AGGGGAGGAATATAGCCATAGCAAAGCACATGAGAGCTATGGCTCCTAGCAGCACAGGTAACCCACCTACTGTATCGCTGCATGATGGCATGGAAGCTGCTTGGGTTTGGTTAGCAAATAGTTTTGCAAATCTTGCTCAAGGCTCATGAAGTCACCACAAACCACAGTGAAATTTATGGGGCAAGACAAATCTTGTTTTTCCAATTCTGGTAATTTGTAGGATTAATAGCCAGGCTATTGTCTTAACACAACCGGCATGGGAAACCAATCCCCAAATTAAGCACAGTTTTAGCAAATAAAAAACAACAAATTTTGCAAACCGTAAGATTCTATGAACTCAAGGTCCTGCAAACCCAAACCTTTACCCTAGATGAGCTGGGTCAGTATTTAAGAGTACATGTAATGCTAAAATTACTACAACAGTGATAGGAAATCCCCTCTTAGAGAGTCCTCAGTGGTACTGATGTTACTATTGGAATTTCTCCCCCATTCTGGTAACTGAAAACTTCCCAAACCCTGACATTCTACAATTGCTATAGTTTACAGTGGATGTAAAGGCTGAAGGGTTTTTTTTTTGTAAATCTTCATGGATAGAATCCTTCCTTGTGCTGCACCCTCCAATACTCACCAGAGTCCCCTGCTATGTGCACAGGAGCCTTGGCTATCCTGGGTCTCTCTCCTCAATAGCTGAGACAGCAGCAAGAAACATTGACTCCCACTGCTGTCAATCACAGTCAGTTAGGCTCAATGAGGACAGAGTGGGGGGGGGGGGGGGGGTCAAGCCACAGCTCACCAGATTGATCTGTGTCTGACCAGCTGCATTGGAGGCCAGAGGAGAGATCTGGGGCCTAATAAATCTCTCCATAAAGAGGACCTGACACATCCCATGCTGGACATTCATCCCTTGTAATAGCAATTAAGTTGGGGGAAGGAAGCACCTCCATCCACCTGTGCCTACATTCAAATATATAAACAAGTCCCGCACACATATGTAAACTGTGACCACACCACACTTGTGAGGTATTTTACTAACATCAGAACAAGAGCAATCATTCTAGTGCCAGACCTTCTCTGTAACTCTAAATTAGTAATCTAGTCTAAAGTGACATATCGGCATGGATGTCATTCCATTTCCTCAACTCAATCTTTCCAAAACTGAGCTTTTAGTATTCCCCCCCCAGCCCATGCCCCCTCACCTGACTTCCCCATCAAGATCAATAATTCAACCATCAGTCCCACCCCTCATGCCAGGGTACTAGGTGTAATCCTAAACTCCCATCTGTCCTTTCACCCCCAAATCAAATCACTGTCCAAATCTTGTAGACTTCACCTCCGCAACATCTCCAAGATATGCCCGTTCCTAACCACAGAGACCACTAAGCAACTTATTCACTCCCTTGTTATATCTCGCCTTGACTATTGTAACTCCATCCTCATTGGCCTACCGAATCGCAGGCTATCCCCTCTTCAGTCTATCATGAATGCTGCTGCCAGACTCATCCACCTTACTAACCGTTCTGTATCTGCCACCCCTCTCTGCCAATCCCTCCACTGGCTTCCCATTGCCTAACTGATAAAATTCAAAACATTAACAATAAACGTATAAAGCCATTTATATCTCTACCCTACTCTGCTCCCTTGTCTCCTCCCATGCTCGCCTCCAGAGCTTCCCCCATCCCCTGGAACTCTCCACCCCAATTTATCAGACTATCGCCTACTCTGCTCACTTTTAGGTGATCTCTGAAAACCTCTCTTCAGGGAAGTAAGTCCCATGTCAGTATATATATATATATTTATTTATTTATTTATTAAAAAAAAAACAAAACAAAAACAAAAAAAAAAAAAAAAAAAAAAAAACAGTGGTTGCACCATCCATGTGAGGTATTACTGCAAATATCAGATTGAGAGCAGTACTTCTAGTACTAGACCACCTGTGTAAATCTAAAATGGTAGCTTGTAAAGGCCTATGGATATTAAAAAATGTATGCAGTTTGTCACCGTTGCACGAGGCATGCGCAGTTTTAAAGCATGTCATATTTGGAATCTATTTACGCGACATACCAATATATTGTTTTTGTAAAAATAAATCACTGTGCAAATACTAAATATATATTTTAATTTATTTGGGGGTTCAATGGCCAATTTCCTAGCCAAATACATTTTTTTTTCACATGAAAAAAAATCCAGTACATCAGAAAAGGCTTTGTCTTCAAGTTGTTAGAGTGAGTGATGTGTGGCATAAGCTTCTAATTCTGGGCATAAAATAATCCCTTTTTGGAAAGTAGACACCCCAAATCATGTTGAGTCAATAGAGGAATTTTTACCACAGATTTTTGGAAAATGTAGCGTGGAGGGGGGGGGGGGGGGGGGGGGGGATTGTCAAAGATGTCACCAGGGGCGGACTGACAACTCATGGGGCCCCCCAGGCAATAGGGGATCATGGGGCCCCTGTCCTTGCCCAAACGAAAAAAAAAAAAAAAAAAAAAACCAAGTTTCCAAATGGTCAGTCCGCCCCTGGTTGTCACACAGGCCATGGGTATATGTGGAATTACTCCCCAACATACATTCTGCTACTTCTGAGTATGTGGATACCACATGGAGATTCCAATAAGCACGTACAGGCTTTTAAGGGGCTTTATTTCCTCATTACACTTCCTGACTACCTATCACAGTTCCAGAGACCCTGAAATGCCAGAATAGTAGAACCCCCCCCTTCCCAAATGACCCCTTTTTGGAAAGTAGACACCAAGGAATTTGATGAGCATGGCGAGTATTTTGCAGATGCCACAAGCATTTGTAAAAATGAAGAAAGAATGTATTTTTGGGACGTCCAAAAAGGGGTCATGAGGGTTGGTGCTATTCTGGCATTTCAGGGCCTCTGAAACTGATAGGTAGTGAGGAAGTGAAATGAGAAAAGTTAGCACCTTCAGGCTTTCAAAGTGGTCATTGTATTTTTGGGCTCCTGTATGTGGCTAGGCTTTCAAAAAATCTCACATGTGGTATCCCCATACTCTAGGGTAGAAGTAGCAAAATGTATTTTGGGGTGCAATTCAAAGTCATTATCCAAAAACATAAATAAATCTTCCATGGACTCAACATGCCTCTCAGCAGATAGCTTAGGGTGTCTACTTTCTGAAAAGGGGTCATTTGGGGATATTTGTACTGCCCTGGCATTTTAGCACCTCAAGAAATGCGATAGGCAGTCAAAGTAAAAGCTGTGTAAAATTCCAGTATCCATACCATAGTTTATAGATACTACAACTTTACACAAACCAATTCACACCTATTGGGATTTTGTTCACACACACCCACACCCTCTCATGTCATAAATTTATGACATGAGTCTCTCTTTCAAATAAAAACCCCAGAGTATGACATACCACCAAAAGAAAGCCATTTGTGTGAAAAGGACAAATTCTGTCTGGGTACAGCACTGCATGACCATGCAATTGCCAGTTGAAATAGCGCAGAGCTGAATAGCACAAAAATAATAAAATAATGGCCCGGTCGGGGGGGGGGGGGGGTAATCAAAAAATATTTGAGGCAAAATTAACTTAATCTTCAAAAAAAAAAAAAAAAAAAAAAGGACTATAAAATACATTTGAAGTGCAAAAATAACTTTCCAAATAACTTTGTACAGACATGGTAAAACCAGAATTATTTCACAATGTAACCGACAAAGGAAAAACCCATCATCATTACTGTTCACCTATTCAGGTCTAAATACCGGAGATAAAAACCTTCATATAGCATTTTGGGAGATCAGTGACATAAGATCATTTTGGTCCAGACCATCACCTTACCTATTAGATGTGCCCACTGCATAAGCAGTAGGTAGCCTCAGTTACCTACAGTATATGGCGCTGTGTTCCAGCAACAAGATAGTAGCTTCCTGTCTCACTCCCATAACCAGAGTGTGTCATTTACAGGGAGCTTTGGAATGAATGAATACATACAGTTGGCGGATGATGCTGAAATATGCAGCATAGCCATGTATTAACAGATTACAGATCTCCCTGTGAATGGCTGAGAACCAGACTGTTTCCAGGAAATTCCCATTTCACTGCTGGTACACAGCATTGTATGGAGTGGAGACTACCTACAACTTATATAGTGCATACCTAGAAGTAAAGATAGCTGGTCCAAATCCATCTTTGACCAAAAAAAAAAAAAAAAATTTTTTAAGTCCACTAAAAGCTGGAGATCAACTTTAAAAGCAGATGGGAAATATACTAGCATTTTCAGAAAGTGGGCAGCAATTTTTCTTAAGCTGACCACAATATAAAATCTGATTGTACAATCTACTATCAACTATAAAAGTTATTTGCTACAAACTGAATTGATAAAGTTTGTGTTCACATTACATTGTTTTGGTAAATATAAAAAAAAAAAAAAAGAGAGAGATTGTGTACAATCAGATTGAGATTTCTTTACCATGGTAACATTGCAAAGTTAAACTCTAAAATACCCGCCTTATCCCTTGACCACGGCACCCATTCATGCTCTTTTTATTGTTCCAATGGGAATTTAAATTGGAGCATCTATTGGGGCCTGAATTTCTGTCCCATTTTATTCAGCAAGTATGGCCAATGGCCAAAGTTTATCTGCTGGACAGGGGCAGACTGACCATTTGGAAACTTGGGCACTGCCCGAGGGCCCGGGGTCAGTAGGGGGCCCCATGAGATGCCCCTGGTACCTTTTTCATAGGCTTTCTTGAGTTTGGGCAAGGACACAGGGGCTCCATGATCCACTATTGCCCTGGGGCCCCATGAGTTGTCAGTCTGCCCCTGCTGCTGGAACCTTTTTTCAGGCACAGATGTCAGGTTATCCAAAAGGTTTTGGGAGGTATATCTGGTTAAATGCTGCCATTCAGTGCTTTGATATTTTATGGTCTAGATCCATTGCTCTTAATATGGTACAATAAAAAATGCAAAGCATAAAAATGTTCTTTAAAAAAGGCACAACAGCTCAAAACTGGAAGCAATGTGTGTTAAAGTCTATCACACTTCAGCTTTCTGGTTATACAGCATGTAGTGAGGTAGGAAGTTGGCTTCTCCAAGTTGTACCGAGTCATTACCAATTGGGTGAGGGGCCAGTCCAGGAAAATAGCATTTGGGGGGTAAGAATTCCCCAAAGGGCCGACTCCCCATTATGGAAGATGTGAAGAGACATGGGCTGGTGTCCAAGGATGAGGAGGACTTAGGAGAAGATTTGACCTTGTTTTCTTGATTGTCCTCAAGACTGCCTGACCTCCAGGATTTTGAACTATTCTTGCTGTCCAACTTTTCAGAGAGTTCCGTCCTGTGACCAGTGCTTCCTTTACTCTTCTTTTTCCTCTTCCGCCTGAAGGATCCATTATCGAACATCCTGTCACAGTTTGGATCCACCGTCCAGTAACTGCCCTTCCCTGTTGATAGATTTTATTAGAAATATATGAATAAAGCCTTTCCAAGATGTTGATTACTTTATTAGGTTTGAATAGAAATTTTTTATATACAATATATACACATATATATATATATATATATATATTTTTTTTTTTTTATACCTTTACATACTAGGCTACAAGCTCATGATTTTCTCCCTCAAGAGGATGACCATACAAATGGTTTCCCTGCTGAATTAGAGATGAATTTAATGACAGAAGTCAAAAAGGTACAGTGTTATCAGTATGGCCCAACACAGAGGAGAGGTAGAGCGCATTATTAGGAGATCACCTTTTCGGGCAGAACTTTACTTTCCATAATAAAAGCTCGTTCTATTGTTATTTGTGGCCCAGCTATCCCAATGCTCACTCACTTACCTCATTCACGGAAGCTTTAAAAATTGTATGTGTTTGAAAAGTGTTTTTGCTTCCACTACTACCTGTAGATCATGTGACATCCAGAAAGCTTTGAATCAACACCTTCCTGCATCACAGAAAAGGGCGTGATAAGGAAAGTTCACCACTCTGGCCACACCTCCCTCATTAGTATACCACCTTCCATCCATTTTCTGTAAATCTAATTGGACAATTTCCTTTAAATCTACATCATCTACGTAGTGCAAGGGCCTGTCTGATTTGATAAAAATTGAATAGAGTGTTCAGATGGGTTCTCCCATTACATAGTTCTCTAAAAGGAAATTGTGCATATGGCATAATGTATGGCCAGCTTTATAAAGTATGTAGGGAGTGGATGGGGACATCAAAACGCCAGGCCCCATTCACATTTCTGTGTAGCCGGAACTCAAATTCCTGCATGTGGAATCAACATCCCCCCCCCCCCTCACTTGAATGGGCTGCCCTACACGCAGCAAAAACCCCAAAAGGAGCTCAAGAACTTTTTTCGTTGTTAAAACGGAATGTGGTGTGTTTTTTTTTAAACTTGTGCTTTTTGGTGCATATGCAATGCATTTCTGCAACAAATCAAAAGCACAAAATTTTCTGTGTGGTTTGCCATGCATTTGGAAAAGCACAGATGTGAATGGAGCCTCATTGTTCTTGTATAAACCAACCAATTTCACTTTCAGGCCTCATTCACATCTAGCATAGTGGGAGCACACTTTTTTGGCTTGTTTTTCCCACGAATTGCATAGGGCAGCCCATTGATTTAAATGGGCTGGCCTACATGTGGCAAAGTAGCACATGGGACATTGTCATGCTGTGGGTGGCACTTTGTTTTTTGGTTTTTTTTAACTGCGTCCGTCACTCATTTTTTCACATGGCAAAATGTGTTTAAGCGGTCTGGTGTGTCGAAATGCATTTGGCAGCGAAAGAGCAACTAGTTAATTTTAGGAGACAGAGTATAAATGTTGCCACACACTATACAATGATTGTACAGTCACCTATAGATTTACCAAAACTATAAAAAACGGAGAACATGCCTTCTATCCAATCACTCTGGATCCAATCAGGCAGGCCCTTGCACTACATAGCTGATGGTAAAAGGAGATCCTGCTTGCTGTACCCCCCCCCCCCCCCTCTGACAAAAAGCACAAGCGCTTTGCCCAGTGGGGAAAAAATGCAATGTAAATGCATCAAAAACACACGATTTTCAGCAGAGCAGTATGAAAGTAGCCTTAATGAGCATTTAACCCAGGCAATGCTGAAAGGGGAAGGGGCACTGCAAGGGTTTTTCTAAGGCAAACATCAGCTTTAAAATTCCTTCTTCTGTTATGCAAAAGTTACACTGACATAAAAGCCTGCTTCTGACCACTTCTTAGAGGGCCAACACAAAAGTTTAAATGAGCCATTAATGTGATGGAGCACTTTTCAGAGGCCATTTGACAGGTGGTGAGGAGGATTATGTTTACCTTTATGTAGCTCAACCACCCGTTTTTACTGCCCTGATAAAGCCCACTGTCGGCTGAGATTAGGCCAACCATATTGCTCAGGATCCATCCAGATGTCTGGACTTGCAGGTGGCTTAGCAAGTCACTGAGAGCCTGAGCTAGCTGCTCCCACCCCCTCCACAGCCCAGCACTTCAGTGAGCACTGGAGGAATAGATCAACTAGCTGGT